TTCTGGTCACTGTATAAATTGTTCTTCTGGTTCTTTTAATTTTATTTTGCATCAGTTTATACTAGTGTTCTCAGATTTCTCTGAGTCAGTTTTTTGTCATTTTTTACAGTTATATTCATTATGTTCTCTGTAATATAGATATTGTTATATATATGTAATATATATTGCTGTATTCATATACTACAATTTGTTCAGCCATTTCCCAATTAATAGGTACCTAAAGTATTGTAATTAAAAGTGCAATTGTAAGTGTTTTTGTACATGAGTACAAAAAGAGTACATTCTTTTCTTTGACTTTTTTTTGAGGTTAGGCCTGGTAGTGGTATCATTGGGTCAAATGGTATAACTTTTTGGTCATGGTTTCAAATGTTTTTCAGAATGGTTGGACCAATTCATAGCTTTACCAACAGCACATGAGTGTACTTGTTTTCCCTCACTTCCAACAATTGTCATTTTCTTTCTTTTTTCTTTTTTTGTTATCTTTGCCAATCTAGTAGGTGCTATTAGAGTTGCTATAATTTGCATTTCTCTATTTGGTTGTGATTTCGAGCATTGTTTTCATATGGTTGTTGATAACTTTTTTTTTCTTTGAAAATTACTTTAGAGAGAATGGTTTCCATTGAGTGATGAGGTTGGAAAGGATTGAAAAGTGATAAGAAAAGTTGTAGGTTATGAGAATAATCAGCTTCTTCTAGGAGCTTGGTTTTGAATGGCAGGAGAGATCTAGTATAATACCTAGAGGGGATGGTAGGGTTAATGGAGGGTTTTTTAAGGCGAGGGTAGACCTACATGTGTTAGGAGGCAATGGGGAAGGAACTAGTAGATAAAACATTGAAGATTAGAAAGAAGTGGAGATGATAGTAGAAGTATAGAGAATGATGGATGATGTCAAGGGAATATAAGATGTGAAAGGTAGAAGAGGGAATTAATTTTATTTAAAAAAAATTAAAATAAATTTTAAAATTAAAAAATTAAATTTAAATTTAAAATTAAATTTTTATTTTAATTAGTGAAAATCCACCCTCTCTCATCCACCTTTTCTCCTCTCCCCCATTGAGAAAAAGAATTCACATTGAATAGCCTCTCTTTTTTAATAAAGTATGATGAAGCAAGATATGCTGAGGGTGAAAGGAGGCTGTGGTGTGGGAAGCTTGAAATGGAAAGAGAAAATTTCATATAGCTAGAATAGCATACAGAATCAGTTTAGGATGATTAAAAGGATTGCCTTGCTGCAATGAGGGCCTCATTGAAATTAATTAGAAAATTGTAGTGGATGGTGGGGGTACTTTAGGGTTGGGATTAGGTTAGTCGTGAGCTGCAGTATGAGAAAGAGGAAATGTATTTGGGAATAAACAAAAGCCTAATTCTGAATTGATTGACTTTAAGTTTAGGACAGGAAAAGGAAAGAAAGTGAATTGATCAAAACCAATCAACGCATCAAAACAAATTGATGTTCAATTCAATGCTCCATTCCCATGAACACCAACCTCTGGAAAGGAGGAAAAGCAGTAGGTGTCTCTCATGTTTCTTCTCTGGGGCCAAGATTGTTCTCTATAATGTTTCAATGTTCGGTTTCGATAGTTGAAGGGTTGTTCAATTTCATTGTCGTCCTTGCTTCCTCACTTTTCCTTATCCTCCATATCCAATCTTTTTTCTTTTCTTTTTTTTATTAATTTATTTTAATTTATCAAAAATCACTTCCATAAGCATTTGAAAAGTTTTAAATTTTTCTCTGCCTCCCTCCCCAAGATGGTGTGCAATCTGATGTGGGCTATACATATATATATACACATTCCTATTATACATATTTTCACAGTAGTGATATTGTAAGGAAGAATTAGAACCAATAGGAGGAACCACAAGAAAGAGAAAACAAAACAAAAGACAAAAATAGCAAATAGTATGCTTCGATCTGCATTCATACTACATAGTTCTTTGTTTGTTTTTTAGGCAATTGGGGTTAAGTGACTTGCCCAGGCTCACACAGCTATTAAGTGTCAAGTGTTTGGTCTGAGGTTCTCCTGACTTCAGGGCTGGTGCTCTATCCACTGCGCCACCTAGCTCCCTCTATAGTTCTTTCTTTGGATGTGGATAGCATAAGACCTTTGGAGATGTCTTAGATCCTTGCATTGCTGAGAAGGGCTTGGTTTATTAAAGTTAGTCATCACACAACATGGCTGTTGCTGTGTACAATGTTCTCCTGGTTCTGCTCACTTCACTCAGCATCAGTCCATACAAGTCTTTCCAGGTTTTTCTGAAGTCTGCCTGCTCATCATTTCTTATAGCACAATAGTATTCCATTACATTCCTATACCACAACTTGTTCAGCCATTCCCCAATTGATGGGCCATCCCCTCAATTTCCAATTCTTTGCCACCACAAAAAGAGCTGCCATAAATATTTTTGTACATGTAGGTTCTTTTCCCATTTGTATGATCTCTCTGGGATTATAGCCCTAGAAGTGCTATTGCTGGGTCAAAAGAGTATGCAGTTTTATAGCCCTTTGGGCATAGTTCCAAATTGCTCTCCAAAGTGGTTGGATCATTTCACAGCTCCACCAACAATGCATTAGTGTTCCAATTTTCCCAAATCTTCTCCAACATTTATCATTTTATTGTTTTGTCATGTTGGCCAATCTGATAGGTTCCAATCTTTTTTTCAAGTCTGGTTTATTCTACCTTTATAACATCTCTTGTATATACCCTTTTCTCTCCACAAAATGCATTATTCAATTCACTTTTGAGGGTTTTAGTAGGTACACAATAGATTTTTTTAAATTAAAATTTCTTTTTGTTTATATTTGAAAGTCTTTCTTCTGGCCCTTTGAAGAATTTGTTATTGGCCATTGGAATTGTTAAATTTCACCACTATATGTCTTGGGGATTGAAGGGTGGGGTTTTTATTTTGTAGAACAGCTGTGGACTCTTTCAATTTTAGCTTTGTTTTCTGAATTCAAAAACTTCTTGACTTCTTGTGTTATTTACTGTATTATGTTCAGGTTTTTCTATTTTTCATGTTCTTCTAGTTCATTTATGATCCTTACATTTTCGCTGTGTGTTCTCTGTGCATCTATCTTTGAAGTCTATGGCTTTTACTTTATAGAGATCTTATGCTCTTTTAATGTTATTACATTTTGCTTCTCTTTACCATATTTTCCTCCATTTTGTCATTTTTCTGTTCTAAATCTCTTAGATTCTCTTTAATGTGTATGGAGAAATTCCATACTTTGAATTAAATTTTTCCTAATCTGCTAATTATTTTTCTTTGAAGATTTCTGGCATTGGTACTTTCTTAAATTGTTCTTTTAGGGATTTTCTTTTTCTTTTGAGCCATTCTAGAATTTATTATCTTGTTCCATTGAGATTTCACAGAGTTCTATGTTTCAACAGTCATTTGTTAACTTTCTTTTGTCTTAATTTATTTTTTAAAAATTATTTTATTTTATTTTTTTATTTTTGTGAGGCAGTTGGCATTAAGTGACTTGTCCAGGGTCACACAGCTAGTAAGTATCATGTGTCTGAGGCGGGATTTGAACTAGGTCTTCCTGACTCCAGGGCCAGTGCTCTATCCACTTCGCCATCTAGCTGCCCCCTGTCTTGTAAATTTGATAAGATTTGTACTCTGTATATTTAGTACTAGTCCCTACTTCTAATTTTGGGTTATTATCTGCTCATATTTTGTGCCTTAATTGAACTTCTTCCTCTTCAAGTCTTTGGTGTAGCCCTTTTCCATTATAGTTTTCCATCATTCACTTTCTGACTCTGCCCCTTTTGATGGTATGTATATATATTTCGGGGCTGGATGTCAAAACTGCCTCAGCCTCCTCCTCATGTTTCACCACAGGCTTCTGTCCCTATCTTTAGTAGCTTTTAAGGGTCAGGACTGGCCCCAGCTGGGTTTCTCTTCCTTGTTTTTGCTGGGTGCAGCTGTTCGTACTGTCCCTGTGCCCTAGTTTTTCTCTTGACTATAGTTATCTTCTCCTCTGGCTGGGCTTAATCTGTCCTTTTTATCAGGGTTGGAAAGAGCAGGGATGCAGTTCTGGGCAGAGTTAGTGCATGCTAGGGGTTGCCCCAGACAGAAGATAGCTTGATTCTATTCCTGTTCCTCCATCCCACTTTCTCTTCACTTGATTGAGCAGAATCATTGTCAGTTCTGAGGGGGTAGGGAACCATTAGAAGGTTATAGCATGTGCCAGTGGCTTCTGGGTGGGGGATATCTCAGTGTTGGTCACAGCCTTTGGGTTTATTTGTGCAGTATTGCAACAGTGGATTAGCATTTTCTGCTGTTCATTTATTAGGTTATTGCCTTGTCAGAGTTCTTTCTTATGCAGTGGAGTCAGATATCTTTGTTCTACATTCTGCTTCTTTTTTTTCCCCTGGGGGATGGTGGTGGGTGGGAGGTGGGATGGAGAATACTGCATCCAGGACCTTGACCAAAGGAAGAAAAGGTACCCTTTCCCTTCCCTGTGAACAATAAATGGGATTCATCTCACTAGCCCCATGATGTGGTATCATAAGAGGAGGAAGGGGAGAAGAATCTCCATAAATATACACCCAAATCCTTTTCCTTTTTACACAGAATACTTTGCTCTGGTAATGACATTCCACTACCACCAATGTCTTTTGTGAGAGATATTCTTCTAAGAGGATAAACTACACCCCCTCCCTCCCTTAGTTTTTTTTGGGGTGTGGGGAGGAACCATGATGTTCCTTCAGTTAAAAAAAATGTGGCAAGCTTTGTAAAGAATAGATAGTAGAGGTGCTTCAGGGCTAGATAACAGAGGGGGAGAGATGTCATTTCTATCTTCATAACAAGAGTTGGCAACAATGGGATACGTCCAGGGTGACATTAAATTTATAGACCTGATTGTCTAGATGGATGTTGGTGTCTTCAACTCCTCAACAGAAAAAGAGGAATTTAGCGAAAGAGATGGGTTTATGAAATTATGTCTTGCTTGAAGTTCTTTTTAAAAATCGATTTGTGGTCTATTGTTATCCTAGACTACGTTACCTGACTACTGTTGGGGAAAAGAAAGAATATGAAGAGCTGGTGTTGAGTCAAATATACTGAGTAAGTATAGGATGGACTTCCAATAATATGCCATCTAAATCTCACAAAGCTTTTAAAAAAAGTAGACATAAAATGTACCAAAGAGGAACTCTTTTGTTAGTGATTAAAACAAATTCTCTTGTAAACAAAATTGAGTTTTCTTTTAAATGTCTGATGTACGACAATTAGATTTCTTGATAAGGTTTCTCTAAATATCTTTTAATTTTAAATTGAACTTCATTTCAATGAAGAAAGCACTGCCAGTTCAAGTTGGTGAGTTAGAAAATGAAGTTTTCTCCTCTTTAGGCTGCATCCTAAACTATATAATTTCTTAGTTTTTATAACATTTTTTAGTTTTCCCCACAAATTTTGATGTTAGTTTTTCCATAGGTCTTAATGTTTAAAGTTCAATTTTAAAACAAAAAGTTGAAGTGTCCACTTGGGTTAAATCTTGCCTCTCTCAGTAGTGATTAAGTAGCAGTGTAGTTTAATAAATAGTATGCAGGATGCTGGACTGATGCTACAGCTATGATTTGCTGTATGAGTGAGTATGTGTATTCTTGTACCTCCACATTTGCCATATGTAGATAATTGTATTTGCTCTGTATTCACAAAAATATTGTGAGAATTACTATAATTAGATATTTTAATTTCTGTAAAAGTTTTGAGATACCTCGGATATTATGAGGCATCCAGTGGATAGAGCATTGGGCCTGGAGTCAGAAAGATCCCAATTCAAATCCTGCCTTAGACACTTGGCTGTGTGGTCTTGGGCAAGTTACTCAACCTCTCTCAGCCTCAGTTTTCTCATCTATGAAATGAAGGTAATAACAGTACTTACCTCATAGGGTTGTTATTGGGGTTAAATAAGATAATATATGTAATGAGCATTGAAAACCTTAAAGAATTATATAAATGTTAGCTATTAGTAGCTATTTAAATCCAGGGTGTTTTATAACATTTCACCTTTCTCTTTTTGTGTACCTGAATCTTGATCAATAAACAGATTTTTTTTTATCACTAAGCATAGCTTTTTCAAAATTCATTTTTGTTATCTTTAAAACTTAGACAGCCAGGGTATTTATAAAAGTACTCAAGCATCTTCATTTTAGGGCAGTGAAATTCTGGGTCTTTATGGGGTAGTAAGATTAATGCCTTCTGTGTGTTTTTATGACCTCTTAGCTTTCGATGTAGGATTTCTGTTTACAGTGATGTGTTGGCCCATCTAAGACCGGGCACTCTGAATCAATTTGACGCATTCAAAAAAAATTTTTTTTTTTGGTGAGGCAGTCGAGGTTAAGTGACTTGCCCAGGGTCATACAGCTAGTAAATGTCAAGTGTCTGAGGCCAGATTTGAACTCAGGTCCTCCTGACTCCAAGGCTGGAGCTCTGTCCACTGCTCCACCTAGCTGCCCCTAACTCATTCAATTATTAAAAAATAAGATTGTATCGGGGCAGCTGGGTGGTGCAGTGGATAGAGCACTGGCCCTGAAATCAGGAAGACCTGAGTTCAAGTTCGGCCTCAGACCAAACACTTGACACGTACTGACTGTGTGACCTTGGGCAAGTCACTTAACCCTGATTGCCTCACCCCACAAAAAATAATAAAGTCACAACTTTTTGGGGTAGCTAGGTGGCGCAGTGGATAGAGCCCTGGCCCTGAATTCAGGAGTACCTGAGTTCAAATCCGGCCTCAGACCAAAAACTTGACATTTACTAGCTGTGTGACCCTGGGCAAGTCACTTAACCCCAATTGCCTAAAAAAAATAAAACAAAACAAACAAAAAAATAAAGTTGTATTGATATAATTTGTTTTGTATATCACCAGAATTTCTCCCATTATTCCTCTCCCCCTCCTAGAGAGTATATGAGTGATGATCCAAAAAGAGTAATGATATTTTTTAAAGAAAATAAAAGAAGAAAAGAAAATCAGCAAAATGTGTTAATACAATGAAAAAGTCTGAAAATGAAATGTTCCTCACTTCTGTAATGGAGTTAGGGTAGGGACATCTTCTCTTATTTTTTTCTTTGGGTCCATGCTTGTTCTTTGTAATTTTGTAAAATTTGATCAGAGTGTACATCTCATTCCATATCCACACCTATGTGCTTCCCATGGGAATGTGGGGCCACACACCTGTTTGATTTCTCATTGATATTTATCCTCATCTCTTTGGATATAATTTTTATCCTGAGGACTGCTTTAACTGCATCCTAGAAATTCTGGACTTTTTCTGCTGTACCATAGAAACCTCTTCACCCTGGAAACTTTACTCCTACATCATTTTTTTGGTAGTACTGTTTTTCTGCTTCTGTTTGTATCCTTCGTGCTTAGCACATAATAAGCACTTAATAGATGCTTATTGGCCGACTGGCTTTGGTGGTTGTTTCCACGTATGTGTTTTTGGTCATCTTGTATATTGTTTCTTTGGCTGTTCTTCATCTGATTATGCAAATAGTTTTATGGTTGTTTTTTTAAATTCATCATATTTATTATTCTTACAATACAGTAGTATGCTACATTCAGATACCACCATTTGATTAGCCATTCACCAATTGATGAGCAATGACTTTATTTCCAATACTTTGCTACCACAAAAAGTGCTGCTATAAATGTTTTGCTGTGTATCAGAACCTTTCTTTTTATAGTGACCTCCTTGGTATATATGATTAACAGTGGGAAATCCAGGTCAAAGGGTATGGACATTTTAGTCTCTTTATTTGCATAATTCCAAATTGAATTCCAAAATGTTTGTGCTGATTCACAACTCCACCAACAGTGCCATTCCTATCTTCCTGTTACTTATCAATTATCATCTTTGCCAATTTCCTGGGTTAATTCTCTGGATTATTTTGTTGCGCATATATTTTCTATTATTAGCAATTTAGAGAATTCTTTCACATGGTTGTTAATAGTTTGTAGTTCTTTGGAGAACTGTTTGTTCATATCATTTGATTACTTACCTATTGGAGAATGGCTTTTTAGCCTTGTAAACATATGTATACATGTTTGCATATATTTATACACGCATCTGTTATCTGTATATCTTGGATAGCAATCCTTTAGAGAAATGTGAAAATGATTTTTCTGAGTTGCTTGCTTCCCTTCTTAAATACATTAATTTTGTTTGCAGAAGCTTTTCAAGAAGTGTCATATAATCAGAATTCTCCATCTTTTGTAATTACCTCTACTCTTTTTTTGGTTAAGAAAATTAATCTTCTACCTATAGCTGTGAAAACCATATGATCTGCTTTTCTCCCAATTTTTATGATATATTTAATATTAAAGTTATATTATTTTGAATTTTTTATGGAATATGATGTGAGATGTTGATTTTAAGCCTTATTTCTGCTAATTTGTTTATTGTCTTTGATGAAGTATCCCATTATTAATTTGATTTGAAGGACACTAGAACTGTAAATTAACTTTGTTAGTATTTTCATTTTTATTACATTGGTACAACTTATCCATGAACACTGAATATTCCTCCAGCTTTATAAGTAGCTCTTTATTTCTTTAATGGGTATTTTATAATTGAATCTATATAAATATTTTGTCTGCTTTGGTAAATTTATCCCCAGATGTTTCTTGTATTTAGTAAATATTTCGAATAGGATGTCCCTTTCTATTATTACCTCTTAAATTTTGTTATTGTATAGAAATGTCGTTGATTTGTGAGGATTTATTTTGCAGCCTGTAATTTTACTAACACTATCAATTGTCTCAGTATCTTTTCTGATTCCCTTGAATTTTTTAAGTAAGCTATTTTGTCACCAACAAGATGAATAGTTTTATCTCCTCTTTGCCTATCTTCATGCCTTTAATTTCTTTCTCTTCTCTTATTGTTTTTGCTAGCAGTTCTAGAACAATTGAGTTCTAGAATAATAATAGCAGGGAGAGTAAGCATCCTTGTTTCATCCTTGAATTTGTTGGGAAAGCCTTTTATCCTCTTTGCATATATTTACTTTTAATTTTAGATAGTGTATTCTTTTTATGATATTCAAAAGGTCTTTTTATGCCTATGCTTTGTAGAGGTTTTTTTTTTGTTTTTTTGATTTGCGTAATTTAAAATTGTTCTTTGTCAAAACTTTTTCTTGCATCTATTGAGATAATCAAGTGCTTTGGGATATTTTTGTTTTTAATATGAGAAATTTTGTCACTTTACTATTGTTGAATAATCCTTGCCTTCCCTATTATAAATCCAAGTTGGTCATAATGAATGATTTTTTGTGTGTATTGCTGTTGTCTGTTCAGGATTTTACTTGAACATTTTGAATTGATATTCATTAATAATATTGGTTTATAGTTCTCTTTCTTTATCCTTCCTTGGTTTGTGTATCAGGACCATATTTGCTTCATAAAATGTTCATACTGAAAATTTAACAATAGGAGCCAGTTGAGCTGGCTCTAACATATCATGAAATGCATTTTGAAATGGTATTCATTTTTATTGTACTTTTCTGAGCTTGGCACCCAATGGAAGCTACTAGCCATCTTTCTTTTAACATTTTTTTATTAATTTATTTTGAGTTATCAACAATCACTTCCATAAGTTTTTGAGTTTTAAATTTTTCTTTCCCTCCCTCCCTGCCTCCCTCCCCAAGACTACGTGTAATCTGATATAGTCTATACCTATACATTGCTATTAAACATATTTTCACATTAGTGATGTTGTAAGGAAGAATTAGAACCAATAGGAGGAACCCCCAGAAAGAGGAAACAAAACACAACAGAAAAAAAAAGAGCAAATAGTATGCTTCAATCTGCATTCAAAGTCCATAGTTCTTTCTTTGGATGTGGATAGCATTTTCCATCATGAGGCCTTTGGAGATGTCTTAGAGCCTTGCATTGCTGAGAAGGGTTAAGTCTATCAATATTAGTTATCGCACAACGTGGCTGTTACTGTGTACAACTTTCTCCTGGTTCTGCTCACTTCACTCCGCATCAGACCATACAAGTCTTTCCAGGTTTTTCTGAAGTTTTCCTTTCCAGGTTTTCATTTCTTATAGCACAGTAGTATTCC